CAGCGAGTACGATAAGAGCCCTCTGCTTGCTTTCTGCACAGCACATCTGGGAATGTTGTTGGAAGAGTTCCGTGAATGATAAGAAATCGTGGACTTTTGAGCTTGTCACGGAAGAAGCTCAGAGAAAAAGGGAAGTAGCCTCACCAACTTTGGTGCTTTAACGACCTTCTTGACTCGCACAATAAGGTTTGTGGATATGAAGCGGCTACTTGAGGCCCATGCGATTTCAAGAAATAACTCTATGGAGTTATTTACAACTTTCTAATTCTACTGCATTCTACCACAGTGATCGATCAATTGAACTAGCACAGCCCTGTAGCAGTTCCCAACAAGAAGAAGTGTTGAAAGACAAGAAAGTGTTGAAAGGATGCGCTTGATTAGGGGAGTGATCCCCACACAGCTTAGAAGGTACAGGGGGGTAAGATACAAGTGTAGACACATCATTTGCCCAATTTCATTGCACCTTGAGTAATATGGCCGACCGATACAGTCTCCAGCAACACTTTCTATTCCCGTCATCTAGGAAAGAACACAGAACATCTAATTGCAATGACCGTTCCCCTGCATAGCAAAAAGTTGGCAGCGAGACAGTTTAGAATGACCGAATACGAAACGGTTTCGAGAAACCAAGTCAGTGAATCTGGGAGCTAAAACGGGTTCCTCTAGAGAACACCCAGGTGAGACGTCAGCTCAACGATTCACCTATGGCTCTATGTAAAAATGATTAATAAGCTGGTAGAGTGGAACAAATGCTAAAATGAAATTTTTGGCGATGATAAATANAATACATATAGGAATGCTGAGAAATAGCGGTAAAATGTCGTAAAGTAAAATTAAAAGTAAAAAAAAAACAGAAAAATAAAAAATAGATCATTTGTCAGAACTACTGATTTATTCTATTAGTTCTTTACTTTGCGAAATTGGTTCAAGTGAGCGCTCAACAAATTCCAATGAGATGCGCCATGCACTGACCTCATCCTTTACAGAACATTCACCGTTGATAAGAACCGAAGTTACCCCTCACGCGGTGAATTAGAGCAAAAATTGATGAGTGATTAGCAAACATAAAAACAAGTTACTGTAATAGACAGTTCTATATTTAGAAGTACACTGCGTGGTGATTGCGCTGTGCTTGTTATCGGACTCGAAAAAAACAAGTGTGCAGTCAGAACTGTCAACATTTGCAGCAGTCATTAATGAGCAAAAGAAAACAAGTAAAATATTTTTAGCTAGGTTATCATACATGGATAGATTACGAATATTTTCGAAAGACCCACCCTCGAGTAGGGTTCGGGGACAGTCAATACGTGGCCCGGTTAATTGCACAGTTCCCCACTCAATCCCCCCCCCCCCCCCCCTCCATCAGGGACTTACTCTCCTCAGCTACAAGAATGGTTCTCCAGAGATAACCCAGAAAAGTTTGAAAAGACAAGAAAAGAAAAGCTCTATCCAGAAAGCAGCAGCAAGTTGAAGTCTGGAAAGTCTCTACCTAGGGAAGAGGTGAAATCCGTGGTCTGGGAGCTCACAATACAACTGCTCCATATGTACAGCTTTTAGAACAACAAGCAGTGACACTGCTACCAAATCGATGGTCCGAGACGAGATCATGATTGAGGTCTGCTGAATCATCCACTCCATTAAAACCTACTAATATACTACCGACGCCTACTATGTACACCACTGCCTCATGTGCATGGTCTGGGGATCGAACTCGGGACCGACGCTCGTCAGGCTAACCGAGGATTCCATCCCTTCGAAGTTGCTTGATAGGTGCCAAACTCGTCTAGGAGGATGTAAGCAGTAGCTTGTACATCGACAGGAAAACGTACTTCCACGTATAGGCCACATGCGCACCCAAAACGCCGTCACTCAAATGGAAATCGAATGCACCCACTAACCATGTAAGCGCTCAGTGATTTTCGATGAGACGCGCCATGCACTGACCTCTTACTTTGAATGACATTTACCAATAATTAGAACACAATGAACCTTTCATATGGTAAAGTACAGTAGAAACTAATGAGTATTTAGCAAATCTAACAAGTCATTGTAATAGAAGCTCTAAATTTAAAAGTACACCAGACTTCACCCTTATCCTTTTATTGGTTCTTAGTATAACTCATGACTAGCAAACTTGAGCTAATTATCGTTTATGAGGCAATAACGATACTGGTCATTATGGCTAACTTGTACACAAGGAGAAAACAACAAACAAATCCAGTCGGAGAAAAGGAAACATGAAAAACAAGTATGTATGGAAAAAGGCCTACGAGGGGCTCTGTGAGCAAGAAATCATCTCGAGTAATCCATTCCATTTAATTGCGCTCGAACAGCAAAGGTACTCAAAAAATCACAAAAGGGAAGAACGAGTATGAAATGCTTCAAAAAAGATACACCTTAATGCCACCACAAGGAAAGGGCACAGTGACTAGGAGAAATGTCCATTAACCAATTGGTTCCTATTGATGTCTGGAACGTGAGTAACATCAATATCAATGCCAGACAGACACTAATGAACAACATCTGAAATTGGAGCACAGTGTGGGAGGGGGAGTACGCCATGACTCAAATAAGTTCGCTTCGACACCCACTCATCTTGCTTATATCAGATACACTTACTGAGTTGGGAACTTACATTCTTTTTTGCCCCTGAGCTAGGACCATATTGCCGTTTCTTAACAGTCGGTATGAATAAGCCTGAAAAGTTCATGACACAATTCAATTTCCTAGATGGATGCCTCTCTGCGATTTCTATCTCCCTATCCCACACCGCAACTCCTTTTTCCTCCCTATTTTCCCTCGCTCAACGCCTCCAGTCATTGAGTCTTCCCACTTCAACCACTTCTGAACCAGATGACCCTTCAAGTCAAATTTCGTGAACCAACGCTGTGATTAGGAAGCAGTTGCCTGTGTTCAATGTTAACAAATCGGTTAGGGAATAATGGAAAGAAAGAAAAGAAAATCAGAATCAGTACCAGAAACCAGAAATCTAGTTGAAATAGTTGAAAGAAACCACGTGAGAACGTGAGAGCAGCCCATGTGGGGGCTCTCCACATGGTCTGCAGACATCTCAAGAACGTGTCATTTGACTGGCAAATGGGGATCAGCAAACTTTGATCATTCTTTGATTTTGTATCAAATTTCTGCTATTCCAGTCCTTTGCCATCCTCTCCCCCTGTCCCTTCACCGAGTTTTTCATATATATGGAAAAGGTTGTAAGTTAAAAAGAAGTTAGCAGTGCTAGCTAACGAGCTAACCACTCCTTTACAATTTCAACTACTTTGTCTTTAAGATTTTCTTCAAGAAAGCTTTCTTTCAGTGGGGTCTCCACAGGTATGTGGCCCTCACTGACTGGTATGCTACCCGATGAGGTTTGAACCTTGGTGCTGTGGTATATGACCACGGAAGATAACATTTGCATGGTGCAGAAAACTGACGGGTACGACAACGAACGTCTGATTATTAATTCATCTTATCAATTTTTAATTTGGCAACTGCACCCAGCTATACAGCTCAAACTGATATGCATGCAACAAAGCCGCTTAACAAGTGACTCAGAAATTCCTCGAATTTCCAGAATATCTGAAACTCTTTCCTAAAGGTTTGCATCATCAAATCCAATAGGAATAACTGCTTAGCTGAAGAGTGGAAAGAGCGTGCCACCCTGAAGATGCGCTGTTTTGATTACAATTTGGTTTTGTTAGCTACAATCAGGCCTTTCACCTTTTTCTGGTCGAAGGTGAAATCGAACCCTCTGGCAAGAAATAAATAAGAGCTTTATGTATGAATCGAATGAAGCACAATGACCACTGTGTAGCTCACAGAGGAAGCCTTCAAATGTCACTACAATCGCGAATGCGAGGCAAATGCGTGGCTTACAATGCAACGACTGGCACTGACTATTCCTTGAACGATGTAAGAACCCAGGCGGATGTTTCGAACTTCTTGTTTAGATACGATGCCAGGGCAGTGTCGTCTGTACCGTACACATGGTCCCACATAGAATTCTACTCATGAAACTACCTCACGCCAATAGAGGATTCTCCAATCTACCGAAATCTGTTGGAAACTTAGCAGTCTCGAAGTCGGAGCTCGGTGGTAGGTGATCACCTTGTCAGTCTGAATTTAAGGAAATATTCTATCAATGGAACGTGGAATCGTGGAACGGAATTGGAATTTTTATTCTGAGCAGTCCGTCACTCGGCTCAACCCAGCTCAAAAAAAAGTGTTGCTCAAAATAATACAAAAATATAGTGAGACGAGAAAAGGTTAAATGTGATCGGATGAAAACTGACTGGTTACCCGTCACTGCACCTAAAGTGCAGTTCCACTTCCAGAAAATGGTATCCCAATGCATCAGGGATCATCTAAATATGAGAATTACTTTACAACTAACACTTGCAACATGACCTTGATTGGACCGGACTTGCACGCTTCTCTGGCGGTTTCTCTCTCGAAACAGTTCCAGTTGGTGGAACCATAAAGAAACGGTGCTATTTCTTGTATAAATTACTAGGTAGGTGATTGTTTGATCGCATTTTTTTGTACTTTCCGGACTGATTACTTCAGTAGACAGGAAATGATAGCAATGTATTTTGCAAAAAGTTATAGGAGGTTTGCAGAATGACAAATTTGGCGGTGGACTCCTNGTTGCTTAAAATAATACAAAAATATAGTGAGACGAGAAAAGGTTAAATGTGATCGGATGAAAACTGACTGGTTACTTGTCACTGCCCCTAAAGTGCAGTTCCACTTCCAGGTAATGGTATCCCACTGCATCAGGGATCACCTAAATATGAAAATTACTTTACAACTAGCACTTGCAACATGACCTTGATTGAACCGGACTTGCACGCTTCTCTGGCGGTTTCTCTCTCGAAACAGTTCCAGTCGGTGGAACCATAAAGTAACAGTGCTATTTCTTGTATAAATTGCTAAGTAGGTGATTGTTTGATCGCATTTTTTGTACTTTCCGGACTGATTACTTTAGCAGACAGGAAATGATAGCAATTTATATTGTAAAAAGTTATAGGAGGTTTGCAGAATGACAACCTTGGCGGTGAACTCCAAGGGTTCTTTTGTTTGGTTAATGCGAACAGAATCACTTTGCTGAAGATAACAAGATATGGTTGTAAAGCTTACTATCAGCTTTACAGTAATTGAAAGCAATTTTACTCTTAAGTAATTGAAGCAGAGGTTTTACAAGCTACTGTCAAACCTTTACCATGTGACTTCGTTGACCTCATTACGCCATTAAGATCAATTGGTGTGGATTTTTATGGAGCTGCGCTTCCCAGATTTAAAAAAAATGTCCCACGTGAGATAGGAAAACACAGTTACTAATGAGTGGTAAGAACAGCCAGTCAATGGGGAGACTTATCTCTGCCTCGGATCTACTCTGTCGAAAAGTAATAGCTTGCTTAGGTCGGTTCTGAGTTGGAGGCACTAGCAGATCTCCGTCCTTCTACATTAGAGTAGTGATGAGTTTGTCCCATCTTCCGCTCACCTGCCTGAGTGCCTGTGTGTCTGTCTGCCTGTCTATCTGTCCGTCCATCTATCTGCCTGTCTGTCTACCTGTCTGTCTGTCTGTCTGTCTGTCTGTCTGTCTGTCTGTCTGTTTGTCTGATTGTCTGTCTATCTGTTTGCCCATCCGTCCGTCCGTCAGTCAGTCCTTCTATATATTTCCTTTTCTGTCTGTCCTACTGTCTGTCCGTCTGACTATCTGTCTGTCTGTCTGTCTGTCGACCTTTTTCTCTGATACTACGTTTATCTGTCCAGCCTTCCTAGTTCTATTCTGTGAGCTTTTCGAGTTCCACTCAAAAACACCACTCATTCACAACTTTGAGGTCATGCCAAGTTGGAAAACAAATTTATCTCGAACGTCACTCATTTGCATACCTGATAAAGTAGGTCGTTGGGTTGCATACGTGTATATTCCGTAGGTATCAAACGTACACCGAAGGCGTACATGTTCAAGTCGTGGACCCACCCCCTCCCTTAATTCCATTAACACATAAACCACGCATTCGCTAAACATGCGCTCTGTGATAAGCTACATATCCTGAAACAGAGAGCGTTGATTCGTTTGGTCCTAATGGGGTCGTTTGAGAACTGGGTCATAGCCGTTCCATTTAAGCCACGCGATTTGGTCAGTGACCTCTATTCTACCCGCATCATGTGGATACGGTGGTTATGGTCGAGGATATGGTGGATGGGGTCGTGGATACGGCGGATACGGTGGTTATCCCGGCTACGGTTTCCATAGGTAGGAAGTTCAATAGCATTATTTATTATGTAGTATCGATTNGGTGTCTCGGTTATTTATACAACCAGAGGAAATTATTCATTGGATGTTCTAATACGAAATACTCCCCTGGAAATTGCAACAACCCATCAACATCGGAAAGTAAGGCCATCCTGAGGGTCTAAGATCATCGCAATCGAGCATTCTGTTTTTTTTAGTCTGATGAGTTTCTACTTACATTCACTTTACGAGAACGAAAGTTCGCTTTCCATTGCTCACTTCACGTCTCGCCCAACTTCGTAGGAAGTCAAATGTCCAGCATACTTCTATTTTCACGATTCAGTATAGAATTCATATGTACGGCTTATCCCTGATCAAAACAAAGTGCATATCTTTTTGTATTTTTCGAGTGCCCTGAAAATACATTAGAGAAATATACGAAATATACTGCATGAGAAAGTAAGAGAATTATTTCCGTTTTCGCTTCTGTCCCCGAAGTATTCACAACATCCTTGAGATATCATAGTTTTTCAGAGGTGGCTATTACGGAGGTGGACCCTACGGATACGGTGGTTACGGTGGATATGGCGGAAGTAAGGACTTTTTACATTTTGTTCCATTCACTTTTCATTCACCTGATCTACGAATATTAAATAAAAGTATTCGACTTGGTTAATTATTAAAATAGTGTTATGGACGCGGCGGGTAGGCCATTGTTCAGACACTCTATATCTATTCTGGAAATCTGCTTAAATCTAAGCCGTTCTTTGGAAAAGAAGTTTTTTTTGAGAAAAGAGCACACCCTTCTTCCTCCTATACCTCCACACCTCGAGACCATGCTTCTCGGGCGGAAGGTGTCCGCGTTTTGAGAGACGTCATGGATTTTTTTCTTTTTTCAACGAGCTGCCTCTTCCCATCAAATCTTTTTAATTTTAGACTAGGAGAAACTTTTCCAATTGAAAGTACTTATGCCCTGTATCTAATAAATTTTGTTGCATTCTGCTTCATAGTTCGCTTGCCTGATCCCCTCTTACATTGTGATGTATGTGTTTCCCACTGGAATGCTTGAAGATTTGGAGCTTCTACGACAGAAATTCGAAAATTTCCTGAAAGTTCTTCTCCACGTCCTTCAAAGGTCACATAATGATTAGAGTTGCGGCTTTGGCTTAGATCTGTGGTACATTTCTACCATACGGATCGCCATGTAGACGGATATTTTCAAACACTTTCAAGGGCCTCGACTGCTCATTGTCAGCACCTTTTTGGGGAGTCTCGTAATCAGCGACATCGAGTGTTAGTCGTATACCAAGCGCCTTGATCAGTGATTACTGAAATTTTTTTAGCCATTTGCTGTCTCGCTTTTCTGACCCTTGTCGTGAAAGAAACAGAATACTTCACTTTTGTGAGNTTGTCAAGGTTACTCTTGGTGTCAACAATTTGAGCTTTTCTTCAATTCGTAGAATAACTTCAAGCTACCTCAGAGCTAACCATCCATCACAGTAGTGCCAGGGACAGTTTCGCGAATGGTTCTTCACAGAATTTATAATAGTCACTCGTTCTTTTCAGGAGGATTCGGTGCCGGACTACTCACTGGACTGCTTTTCGGATAATCTCAAAGAAGGTTGGAATCAGCTCGGGAGAATCTTTTGTGCATTATATTTGGCGTATTGCAATAGTTTCTGTGCAAGCAATAAATATAAGGTCTCAAATGCGTTTTTCTGCCAGATAATATGAAACGCTCCTCATACCGCTCAGGATTACCTAAATCAAAAACTTTTGCCCTTCTGCTTTCTACTGTCTTCCTCCGCCAAGGGCTGAAGCTCGATCTGATTTATGCAGAAGTCATGTGGGTGAACCTTAGTGATGGAAAGAAGATGAATCAAGGATGAAAGGTCACCTGTATTCACCCCGAGAAAGGAGTTTGAATCAAGGAATTCAATATTGTTCTTTTTCTCAGCGAGAAATCTTACATCCAAGAGTTTACTCCTACCATCCTCCTTCATTCCCTGCTTTTGTTTTCGATTCCTAAAAAATCTACCTGATTCGTTTGGTGTTCTACAAATGCACGTGTTCCGTAGTCTCTCGCATCGGAATGGCAGCTAGAGAAAAGTGCTACATTTATCGATTCAGCAAAGCTTACTCGTAAGTAAAACAATTCAAGTGCTACGTAATGGCTTTCTTAGACAGAACATAATCGCTCGATGCAGTACTTGGAAAGTAAACAAACATATTTTGTAACAAAACAAACAAACAAATAACCATCTAGTTCTTAGGTTTTGCAAATCCAATTCTTTCCTGCGCAAAGTCATGAACCGTACAGTATTGACGATGGAATGGTATCCCTAAAGTCCATATAGGGCTGAACTTCTGGCCACTTAACGCCTTTAGCGCTAAAGCACAGCCGCCATCAGGGAGCTGTAGTACAAGGTTTTCAGAGTGAATGGTATAGTTCTGTTTTCCGATTTTCAACATCATTGTTGGTTTTGCATCGCAATCGATAACGTAGTGCTGAAGATCTTCATTCCACTGAAAAACTCGAATCAATCAAAGATATTGGTTCTATGTGAAGAAAAAATGAATAGAAAGGCAGTGAGGTACTGGACTCTGGCGCCTCCCAAAAATTTGTGCAAATCCGAATTTTCAGGGAAGGTATGAATGTGGTTAGAGTAACCTACAGGTCATTCCTTCTTCTTTCTTTGTTCAGTTTTCTATCATTCCTGGATTAAACCGTGAATTTTCAAAATAGATCCTGTTGTTGTCCTTTGAGATTAGAGCACCACAGAGCTGCAGTCCTGCTCTGATCTGAGATAGTCACGGTAATCTATGGTCTAACTCAATAATGTCATACTCTGGTACTTCTGAAAACACAAAAAGGTTTCCCAAGTAACATCATCATCGCAGTTTTAGGCGAGATTTGGGCAATTATAACCCCTCCCCCCTCCATACAAGGTCTTCTCGAGCCCACACCGATTGTTCATTTGAAGTTAGGCATGGTCTCATCTCTCCGTTAGTGTTATGTCATTGAGAATTATTGAAATCTAGTACTATAAATCCATTGGTAAATGTTTAACTCACTGTAGCTTTGTGCTCACGAACTATTGCATCGGCTTCAGCGGCTGGTGCTCCTATGAAGGAGCTTGATGTGTCTGATCTTGCCCGGCAGTTGACATTCATGTGAAAGTTTCCTGATGTCACAGCAACAAGCTGAACATGAACACTTCACCTGAGATTCGTCATATACCTTGAAATCACGAAACTTACCGAATGGCAACAAAGTTAAAGCAACTACAAAATGTTGAAAAAAAGAAAAACTTGATTTCTCTTGTCGCTCTTCAATAAAACAATGCTCCTGCTGGAAACAAATACGTCCAATCATGCCTATGCTTACCAAGCGTTCCATCCCTCTGAAATCTGATTAAGAGATAAGCCCTCATATCTCCCAGAAGCGACAGCGGCCGCCAGCCGAAATCAATTTGAATATCTACTCCATGCACTTGCCAACTACTACCATTTCAATGTCAATTGCCTATGGCGACGATACCCCTTTCAAGCTATTCCTGTGCTCGTTATAACAATTTCGATCGGGTCTGGTCCAACTTCAAGCAACAATTCTATTACCTTAAACTGCCAGTGAGTCGGTGTAGTCAATGGTTCATATGCGGTCACTGGTCCGCAATGTTCTGTGTCGATAGCACCATATGTTATGACACCGCCATTAGTATCCGTTTTGTCTGTAATATTTATTAACTGCCAATTTCGGAGCCTCTGACACACTTCCTTATACCTCTGTTGAGAACGCTTGTTTTTCAGACAGAAGCAGACTGTAAGGGGACTTTTAGCGGTTCTCTTAAAAATTTGTTATGGTTTTTGCATGCATGGACCACTAGTCGAACTTAATGACACTTTCTGTATCGAGAGAATTCACATAATCATAGATGTGAGTATCATTGAGTGGTGAGCCCCACTTGCATTGCTCTGTTAAACCGAACTCCTCAAGTAACCAATATCGAAGTTGCAATAGTCATCCAAATTCGGGTCTTCTATCGAAGTTACAGTAGTCACCTGATTCTGAGCACTCGATAAGTGCCATTTTGCTTGTAAACTTTGTAATCAGATTTGATATCTTTCCCTACGGGAAAGTATGCCTATGAATTGGATCAACCTGATTCGCATCCTCAAAGGAGAGAAAATTAGTGGAAGCCGTAAGATCCGACTGACACGAAAACATTCTGGTTGAAAGTAGGTGCGAGTAACTCACCATTGGATGATTTGAGGTAGACGGTGAACAAGGGGTCATCCACTAAATTCAGCTGAACAGCCCGGCTCATCGGCGGAGTAATTCGACTGGGTGCTATCACAGGAAATGCCAAACCAAGAACACCATCGATTTCGTTCTGAACGAATTTCGTATAGACTTTCCCAGTGTTCCTAGGCTATCTCCGAGCACGAGAGCATGAAAGTGCTAGAAGATGAGACGATGAGCCTGAGCTATTCAGGCGTGATTATGGAAACACAGTATAACATTTCTGATGAACTCACATCAATGAACGGAGCAGAGAACTTGGTGGCTCGACCAAATACAGTTCCAGGAACGATAAGCTGCTTTGAACCAGGGGCACCAAGACGTACCGTGTCGTTTCCGAGGAGGCCTTCAGCATCTAGCGGAGGGTACTAAATAGGTTATAGCCATCGACACGTACCGTGTCGTTTCCGAGGAGGCCTTCAGCATCTAGCGGAGGGTACTGAATAGCTTGTAGCATCGAATAGCCCTCTATAATTCGTATCCAAGTTTATTTTTTGCTGTTAGAATTACTGTATTACTTCCACTGTTAGGAATGCCTCTGGGCTGAGTTACTTCCTTAGTAAGGGTTGTCTCTAGGTTGGTTGTGTTCCACTTACAATTAAATTATTTCAACTCTTCATGGATGGTTCTGCAGATTCTTGTGGACTTGTAGGAACAAAATTGTGGGACTGGCTTCTTCATGAACCCAGTCTGATTAGGCAGACCAGCTAATCGTTCAAACACCCCATGGTTTCCTTTTCTCTCTGCAGATGCATATTAAAAAGTACAACTCAAAGATACCTCTCAGAAGTCTACGTGATGCTCCAAAAAGTAAAAGGCCCCTAGAGATCTAATGGAGCATTTTTCATGTGGCTTTTAAGTAGAGTTTGTCACTATCGAGAAGGTACTCTCTTTTCCCACTTCCCCTCCTGAAATTATTTTAGGAATGAAGCGAAAACTACCTTGATGCTCCATTTCCCTTCCGATTTCACATAAGTGGAAGAAGCCGTTGCATTGAACAAGTGTTTTCTCTTACAATTGGCTCTCCGACAGCAGGTTCGGTCAGGGCAGAACACTCTGCAGACCACTAAATATGAATAAACATGAAACGATAGAGTCTCAAAAACTTCTGTGACGGTTCCAAAAGATCCCATTGAGCCCAAAGAAGTCCCTCTGATTTTCTGCCTGCCTCCTATCGGGAATTGTCATTAACTGTTACAAATAGTGGCTTGATCATAATCGTAACAAAGTATGTTGCATAAAGTACGATCTAGGTTGATCAAACATAAATCAGATTGTGATGGTTCTGTGAATTCATAAAAGTCAGAATATTACTACTACACATAATTTGCGGACCACTTCACACTGACTTTGGAAGGTTTTCGAGCTTTTCTGGAGTTTTGTAATATGAGAACGCAGCTCGCAGATCGGAAAAAACTCCAAAGTAAAAGACAAAAGTAAATACCCACGTCCTGCATCACATTCAGAGATAGCACAGGTTTTTGATTTATATCCGCTACACGAAGTATCAGGCACATAGAAATTAGCAGATCCCGTGTCCACAATTACCTGGTTGAAGA